TTAGGGATGATATTTCCTCTTAAGCCTTAGTAAAATGAGAATACAATTCAACATATTAAATTACTTTCACCAATAGAAACACTGTGGTTCAACAGAATAAAGGTTTGTTTTATTAACTGACTTAAAATGTTAATTACCATATATCTGTCTGTCATTCCCTCACCAACTATCAATGAATGATAAGGACGTTTGTCAGGAATTGCCTCACCACTCCATTTTAAACCAGCAAGACTGCCCTACAAGTGGCAACGCCACCAAGACTGCTCATAACAGACGAGCTGCAAACACCCTGGATGTCCTGCCCCAGGAGTCTCCCAGAGCCCCTGGTCACATGAAGACAGTATTTCCAGACTCTCAAGCAGTGAGTACTCCATTCACTTATTTTCACACCACTGGGGTCAAACAACTATCACCTACAGGGGGCACTGAATTTGACTATCAGGCAAAAGCAACAGAGGAAAACTGTACTAGACCTTTTACACACACACACACACTGTCTCTCTCTCTCTCTCTCTGTCTCTCTCTCTGTCTCTCTCTCTCTCTTTCCTCCTTCTGCAAGGAGTGGCAAAACTGGAAATCGATATGAGAAAGATTGAAATAAGACCTTTATCTCACACCATATACAAAAACCAACTCAACATGGATTAAAGACCTAAATGTGAATCCCAGAATTAAAAAAGATGAGCAATCAAAAAATAGAGAAAAATTAAAGGACTCCAATACAAGGTACACATAGACTATAAAACATTGCAAGAATTGCACAAACCAAAGGAGACAAAACAGATGACTGGGAAATACTAAAAATCAGAAACTTATGTGCATCAAAAGATTTCACCAAAAAAGTAAAAAGGGAGCCCACAGAATGGGAAAAAAATCTTTTACAACGACATATCAGACAAGGGACTAATCGCTAGTATCTACAGGAAACTACAACACCTCTAGAGGAAAAAAAACAAATAACCCAACTTAAAAATGGGCACAGGGCATGAACAGACATGTCACCAAGGAAGACATTCAGAATGGCAACAAACATATGAAGAAATGCTCACTATCACTGTCCATTAGAGAGATGCAAATCAAAACAAAAATGAGTTATCATCTCACACCAGCAATAACAGTGAAGTTAAAAAAAAGCAGAGGACAATAAATGCTGGCGAGGATAAGGAGAGACTGGGACCCTCCTACATTGTTGGTGGGGATGTAAAATGGTTCAACCACTCTGCAAAATGTTTTGGTGCTTCCACAGAATTGGAAATAGAAATACCTTATGACTCAGCAATTCCTCTAGTTGGTATATATCCATAAGAAATACAAACCAGAACAAGAGTAGATATATGCACATCAGTGTTTATCAAGACACTATTCACAACAGCAAAAATATGGAGATAGCCTAAAGTGCCCATCATTGGAAGAATGGATAAGCAAACTTTGGTACATATACACAATAGAATATTATGCTACCTTGAAGAATAACAATGCAGTTGCAAACCACCACAAAACATGAATGAACCTTGAGGACATTATGCTGTGTGAAATTAGTCACAAAAGGACCAGTATTACATAAGACCATTATGGTAAAAGCTTAATAAAAGATACCCATACTAGAAGAATTAAACAACCAAATAAAAAATTCTTTGTTGGTTTCCAGGGGTGGAAGAGAAGGCCTGGTAGAGTACAGGTTAGGGGATACACACTGCATAGTTTGGGAGTTGGGGAAGGCAATACACAAGAAGGGGGAGGAGGATGGAAGAATAAGGTACATAGGGGAATATTTAGGTAGGTTTGCATGGGCCAAATGGGACAGAGGTAAATAGTGATGTATGCTCAACCTTGGAACAACAGGGCTCTGTGATACAGGGATCAAGACATAGTCTAAAAGGAAAAAAAAAAACCAGGGGAAATAATGTTAATATGCTTGACTGTCTTATGATATTGGTTTCTCTTGCCTACTACTGTAAAACAGACACTTGAGTGGGATAGAAAGGAATATCAGGAAACATAATTACAGAATGTGGGTAAACCTGTCTTCAGCCTGTAACTCATTATAATGCCTAAAAGGGGTTCTAGAACTTGCCCATTGAAATAGGCTTCTTGTGGAGCCTTTGTAAAGTGTGTGGACCTTAGGTAGAATCCCGAAACCCATCCAGAACCTACTGAGGTGGGGCACTCCCATTTGAAGAGACATGCAGACCAGCCCAGAGCAGCTAGAGGAACAGAAGATACTTCGTGAAAGAAAGACCAACAGGACAAAACATGTCAGTCTGTTTGGCTATTACAAGAACAAGAAAGCTGTTTGCCAGGAAGCCATCAAGTCCCTTCAGGACAACGCCCCCTCCAAGAATGAAACCCAAAGGGAACACACAAACAGGCAAGTAAACTCACTGGCAACCCCGGTGGTCTACATGTGAGTGGAAGTGGGGAAAGGCAGTAATGAAGATATGGGATGAGTTCGACCACATCAAGGATCAAACCTATCCCCTGGGTATACAAAGTTGATTGTTTGTGTGTGTGGGGGGGGGTTAAGGGATACAAAGGCACAAAGTAGCTGGCTTACAAGTTTTCAAGATGGAGTTTAGTTTCAGAGTGTGCAGGGAAAGGTAGCATCCCCACTGAATAGTTTTCACCTTGTCTAGATGGGTCTGATGAAAGGAGATGGGGATAGGAATCTTTTGAGTAATTGTTAACATAACTAATTGTGATTGTCACAACTGAAGTTTTGCATTAGTTTTGTAACATTCATGGGGGAATAGTTAATCTAACATTCCAGGACCATCAAGAGAGAAGAGCATGAGTGGAACATAGGACGCTAACTAGAGAAGTAGTGACACCAGAGATGTCAGCAAAGGTGCTGATATGCAGAGATAGAGCAGCTGAGGACCATAAACTCACTGAAAGAGGAAGGCTGTGTCCTGACAGCCCCAGGAGTCAGGCTTGCTGAATGTGCCCTTTGGTTGTTTAAATAATTATATATTCCTTAGTATTTTCATGTACATAAAACAAAACAAAAACACAAGGACTAGAAGCAAATACTGTTAAATGATGGTGCAAAACCTATATTCTACCATGTAAACTATCACTCAATTCACAATAGAAGCTTTAAAAAAAAAAAAAAAAGATCATGCGGCTAAATTTCATACTGGTGATATATTTTCTAAGCCCCAGAAACTCTCTAGAACACCAAACTCCTGCATTTTAACTTGAAGAAAAGCACACACATTCTCGTTTAGATTTCTCCTTGGGAGAAATATGCACACTCTTTCTTTCTTATCAAAAGCACAATGTGTTGTTGTTAAGTGCAGTCAGATTGATTCCAACTCATAGCAACCCTGTATATGGTTTCCAAGGAGTGACTGGTGAATTTGAACTGCCAACTCTGTGGTTCAAAAACCAATCTTGCAGTCCAGTGCTTATCCTATAGCACCACACCGGGACTCCAAAAACACAATAGGTAATTCAGAAACCACTTCCTAACTCAGCCTTAAATTTGATGTGTGCCTTGGTCACCACTGTATTCCTAACACTTAATAAAGTACCTGAAATTAATAAAACCTAGTAAGCACTTAATAAAACATTTCAGAAATTAATAAAAACAATCTATAATGGGTTGTGAATTTAGAAGACTGTCCATAAGGGAACAGTAATAATTTTCAACTAAGTCGGTTTGATTTGAAATTTAAGTAATAAATTTCAAAGATGGTTTGAACTGCAAGGTCAGTGGGTCAAGCTCACAAGCCACTCCTCAGAAATCCTATACAGGTTCTCTATGGGTTGGAACTGACTTGAAGGCACTTAACAACAATGACATAAAAATGTAAGAGACCACATACTGAGGCATCAAAGAATGTTCATATGTAAATACAAATATTAAGGCACCTGTAAGATAAGGTAAACTGAACATAATTCAGTTATTGTGACAACTGATGGCAAAAATTTTATTGGAGTTATTCAGATATTTTTAGTAAGAAGTAGGGAATGAAAATTTTTTCTTTCATTATGTTTTTTTTCCTTTCATTATGTTTTATATAACAGCATCTTTCTGGTCACAGAATTTATCACACAGGACAGTCTAGAAGTGAACCATTTATATAGCATGATCTAAAAAACTCACGTCAATGCATGCTGACTGCAGAACTGAGTATGTGCCTGTGTGGATGAACACGTGGGGATAGGGAGTAGAGCGTATTTTCTAATAGAGTTTGCAAACAGGTTCAAATTAACCAAATCTGACCATACTTCCATCTGGAAACTATATTTTCTAACATGAGCCATATTCTGAAAAACAGATTCAGATGTTTGGAACTGGTTCAGAACAGCTGTAAGAAATGTTCAGAACAAATGAAAAAATTAGTCTTCAATGTCTGCTCCTCTCAGCTTTTCTTACTGAGTAAATATGCCTTCTGGGGGGTCAGAGCGCTGGTGAGGGAAGAATGGAGAATTGAAGGAAGGCCATTTCCTTGAACCTAAAGTGCATGCTACTCTTGAATGCATATCGAATGGGTAACTGCTATTTGATTTCTCCCTCGTTACCCACTAGGATTTCAACTCTGTCATGGGAAGGCTTAGACTGCCAAGTGGAGATAATTAATTCTCCTATTCCAACTTCTGGGAAACAAGGCTGAAGTACTTAGTGAAATATACTGACCCATCTTTCCTCTATAATCCTTCTTTCCCAGTTTGACATTACCCCTGAAGATAAGGTTATTGGTCTATGCTTACAATAATTAACTTGGTATGATTTACTAAATGATAAATTTTTATAATACAAGAAATTGTTTTAAAATAGTTAATAATTTTTATACAGGAGATTTCTAAAATCTATCAAATCAACAGTTCATAACAACTGAATCCTGAATTTCAAAATTGAAATCTTAATATTTAGTTTAGACATTAAAGAACAAAACAAAACCCTCAACAATGACAATTAAAATCAAAATGCCTCTCCCTCTACTGTTTCAGAGGCTTTAAGTGTTTGATGCAGTTTTGATCTGCCCACAGCCTACCTTGACTTTTTGCTGGATTTGGGTTTTGGCGTGGCAGTTTTTGCTTTCTTTTCCTTTGGCTCTTTGGGAATCTTAGGGGCTTTCGGGGCCTTGGGTTCCTTGGGCTCTTTTTTCTCCTTGGGTTCTTTCGGTTCCTTCGGATCTTTTTTTGCTTTCAGCCTTTTCTTTTTCTTTTTTTCGTCTTGGGACCCATCTAGAAAGTTCCTATTTAGTTCTTGGTTATCAGGGAAGTCATCTTTACCACAACTTTTACTGGGATTCTCTGCAACAATGTGATTGTTTTTCTTTTTCTTCTTCTTTTGCTGCGGCTGCTGTTCAACTGACAGCAGGTAATCTTCACTCTTCCCTAGCTGAGCATTCGGTCCACTAACCTGAGTCATATCCGGCACTGTTTTCTCTAGAAAGGGCTCCGATGGAGAATGCTAAGAGACACAAATAGGAATTGAAATTAGTTTTATCACTATTCATGGTAAAGAAGAAAGGAACTGAAAATTAGTGGCTGATGTCTTTAACATAGTCTACATTCAATGTAGCAAATATTTCACCAGCTAGATAGTTGGGACATCTATCATTTTCTCTCATATCCAAAAATATGTATCTATTTCATATGGAAGCTTATAAGTAAACAGAGTTTATAAATTAATAATTTAATAATATACCTATTGCTCACTTAAGGGCTACTTTGTTATCTAACACTTAGCAAAAAATCTACTAGTCTAATATTTTGCATATTAACAATGCATATCTGGCAATAATAGATGCTGAGGTGCTAGGAAGAGCAATGCTGGCTGTGATGGTTAAGTTTATGTGTCAACTTGGCTGGACCATGATTCTCAGTGGTTTGGAAGTTATGTAATGGTGTATTTTGGTAGTTAAGTAATGATGTAATTCAGCAGTTGTACAATGATGAGTGATCCCATGTGGTGAACCTCCATTTTTGCACAATGTCAATTCTCACACAGTCATTTGGTCTTTGGAATCTAACCATGTTTATAAGTGAGGAGTGGGTGGATAGTAAATTTTTAGCTAAGGAAGAAAAAGTTCTTATTTAGATGAGAATGTTGTCTATTTATTAAAGAGCTGTTGAGTCGATTTTGACCCATAGCAACCCTGTAGGGTTTCTGAGGAGCAGCTGGTGAGCTTGAGCTATTGACCTTGCAGTTCAAAGCAACTTTGCAATCCAGCACATGACAAAAATTTCAGCAAAGAGTAAACCACCAGGATGGAGTAAAGATAGATAGTTTGGTCTTTTTAAAAAAACAAGTATAATTAAGACTCCAAGATTCTCATACTGTGAAGCTCTAAACTCAAAGTGTAAACAAAACATAAATCTTACATAGTTCGGATCATTTCTATGTTCTCCATTAAAACATCCAATTAAAAATATATATCCAAATGTAGGAGTCCTGATGTGGAGCTGTAGATTAATGCGCTGGACTACAAAGTTGGTTTGAACTACAAGGTGAGTGGGTCAAACTCACAAGCTACTCCTTGGAAACCCTACACAAGTTCTCTATGGGTCAGAACTGACTTGAAGGCACTTAACAACAACAACATCAAAATGTCATGACTTTGGATGGGTTAATTTCTAGTTCTGGTGTGAAATGTAGACAACGTTTTTGACTTTTTAAAACTTTCCATTTCAAAATTTCACCAAGGGAGAGAAAACCTGAATTGCCAGATTTGACATGCATTGCAGGAGATCCTTGGCATTCACTAGAAATGTTCCCAGGGACTGCCTTAAAGACATTAGAAAACACCAATAATTAGAATAGGATCTTAATGACAGTAAATGATTCCTGTATATAACAGCCTGACAACTCATGATCCAAACCAAAAACCTTTACATTTCAATAAAAAAATTAGAAAACCAAATGCTAATTATGTAAATGTTACTCATTTTTGCCTTTTTCATATGCATCCCCTGATTAGTAGTAGTAACTATAATACAAATAGCAACAACAATGATAATAGCTTTTAATATTTAGTGATCAATCTTACTATGGACAAGAATTTTATTTCAATTATACCCTGGTGGTGCCATAGTTAAGTGCTCAGTTGTCACCCAAAAACTGGGATTTGGGGCCAGATACAGTAGCTGTTCCATAGGAGCAAAATGTGACAGTCTTGTACAAAAAGGTTTCAGTCTTAGAAACCACATGGGACAATCCTATCTATCCTTTCCTACAGGATAACTGTGAGTCAGAATGGACTCAATAGAAATGGGTTTGTTTTTTTTCTTTTTAAGCACCATTTAATCTCCACAACAAGGAGCTCTGGTAGCATAGTGGTTACGAATCGGGCTAGGAACCACAAGGTCAGCAGTTCGAAACTGCCTGTGGTTCCGCGGGAGAAAGATGAGGTGTTCTGCTCCCGTAAAGATTTATAGCCTCGGAAACCCTGTTCAGGGTCGCTATGGGTCGGAACGGACTCGACGGCACTTAACAACAACAACAACAATCTCCACAACAACCCTCAAAGCTTAGGCGCGATTGTTTTTCCTAATTTTACAGTGGAGGGCACTAACAATGTGGGATGAAGTAACCTGTTCATGGAGTTACAGATGGCAAGTAACAGAACCAAGATCAACATCAAACCAGATGGCTCCAGAGCCTGTGACCTAGAGCAAATTGCCTAGGAGAGGAGAGTAGGCCAGAGAGCCCAAGCCTGTTAAGGCTATGATTTACATTAACAAAGTAAAACCCATTTGCTGTCATCTTGACTCTGACTCAAGGCAACCTTATGTGTGTCAGAGAGAGCAGGGTTTACAATGGTTGATTTTTTAGAAGTTGATCACCAGACAAGAACTTTCAGGCTTTGAGGTAACAGCAGAATGCATTAAAGTTTGCACAACCAGAGATTCCATGTAGGAAGGTTAAAAACAAACTTTAAAATAACAGAATCACTAAATTAGATTTCAGTATGAATAATATTTACTGGGGAATCCTGGTGTGGCACTGTGGGCCAATGTGCTGGACTGCAAATACGGTTTGAACTGCACGGTTGGCAGTTCAAGCTCATCAGCTGCTCTTCAGAAACCCTGTACAGGGTCATTATGGGCTGGAACTGACTCAACAGCACTTAGCAACAACAATATTTATTGAGGGTCCTGGTGTAGCACTACAGGATAAGCACTGGACTACTACCTGCAAGGTCAGCAGTTCAAACCCACCTTCTGCAACTTGGAAACCCTATACAGGGTCTCTATGAGTTGGCAACCGATGTAACAAAAACAACAGTATTTTCTCGGAGTTCTGATGTGATGCTGTGGGATAAGCACTGGACTGCTAACCACAAAATCAGCAGTACAAACCCACCAGCTGCTCCCTGGAAACCTTATAAAGAATTTCTGTGAATCAGAACCAACTCAACTGCATTTAACAACAAAAAAAATTTACTGAGCGTCTATTTCATACCAGATACTGAGCTAGGAGTATTCATGTTTTAGCTTACCTAAATCTCATAAGCATTTGCACTGAATGTCAGTTTGAGTCTCATGATCAGTGGTTCAAACCACCAGCTGCTCTTCAGAAACCCTATACAGGGTTGTTATAGGTTGGAACCAACTCAATGGCACTTAACAACAACAACAACAAATCTCATGACAGAAATATGAATTTTGTATTTCCTCAATTTTTTAGAAAGAAATAAAGCTCAAGGAGGTACTGTGGTCAGTTAAAGACACAGGACACAGCTGAGATTCAAAACTAGTTTCCTAAATCCCTAAATCATTTGACTCTGTCTACAGCTTGAAATTGTATACATGGGCTGTGTTCAATGAAGCTGTACAAGTTTGTTTTTTTCAAAAGAGATCGGTGACCCACAATTCATGAAAACAAACAATTTTTTTTTTTTTAAATCATTGTGACTTCAATGACTGGATGATCGGAGAAAAAAAAAAGACTAATCTGGTACAATTTGATGAACTTGACCTATACCTATAGGTGCAGTAGCTCAAAAGAGGGAACAAATCTTTATAGTGAGGATCATTCCCATTCCCTCTCCATACACAGAGTAGACAGGGATGGGCAACTTGGACATTGGCTACCCAAAATGGCAGGGGCGGGGCTACAAAGGCAAGAAGTGACTGGCTTACAAGCTTTCAAGAAGAGACCTTAGATCCAGAGGGCGAAGAGGAAGGTAAAATCTCCACTGAGTAGTATCCAATCTGTCTGGGTGGGGCTAATGAAAGGAGATGGGGATAGGTGCCTTGTGGTACAATGGTGAATAATTGTTATCAGGGCTGACTATGAGGGTTGGAAATATAAAGGTAGACACTTTGTAGCAAAAGGAGGGGAGTGATTGACTTTGTAGTTCAGGAGTGGAGGTCCTGGGAACCATCAAGGGAGAAGAGCAGAGTGCAGGACCCTACCCAGAGAAGCAGTGACACCAGAGATGGAGACAGAGATGATGATGTGGAGAGATGGAGCAGCTGGGGACTCTAAACCCAGAGAGGGAGAGGGGCTATGTGCTGATGGGGGCAGGGGGGGGGGGCGGAGCTTGCAGGATATATCTATCCTCTGGTTGGTTGATAATGCATGGAGGGGACTGTAACTGTGGCAATGAAATGATATATGATAGAATGGATGTAAAGCTAATGATCTCACATGTAAACAATCACATAATTCAAAATAAACATTTTTTAAAAATTCACTGTGAGAAGAAGGTGGTTATATGGTTCCCACTGAAATCTGCCATGGGTGTTAAAAAAGACCGATATTCAACTCTCTGTCTATATGAGTATAACAGAAAGAACCTAGAAGTGTAAATTTGAGAGATTAAAATTCTCATCCTGGCTTTGCTGTTATCTATAGTATTTGGGGGAAAATCACTGCCCGCTTCTGAGATTCAATTTCTTCATTTGCAAAATGAAGCATGTAAGTTAGATGATTTCTAAGGTCTCTTCCAAAATCCTAGGATATTAACAAATCTTAAATTACTTGTTGTTGTTGTTAAGTGCCATCGAGTCAGTCGATTCCGACCCATAGCCACCTTGTATAGGGTTTCCAAGGAGCAGCTGGTGAGCTTGAACCACTGAACTTGCAGTTCTAACAACTTTACAGTCTGACGCATTAGCCCACAGAGCCGTACCAGGACTCTACCCTTTTTATTCATAGCTGAGGGAATAAACCCAAACAAGAGTGAGAATATAGAGAAAAGAGAAAAGCAAGGATTGGTGCCTGGGTAAAAACACACAGCATAAATGTGCATGAGTAGATTTCTGTACTGTGAAAACAACTAACCATCACCCCTGCCTCTCTGTTTCTCTCACAAATATTCTTAATATGATAAACTTCAACTCAGACACTGCACAAACGGAATTAATGGAGCTGATTTAATTGTTATATTCAAGTTGCTTAAGTCAAGTTGTTGCACATTATTTCAGAAGGCAACCAAAAAGGCAAAGGCCAAGATATTATCG